GTATTAAAAATATTCTCTCTTTCTATGAAACTGGCAAATCACGCTTTCAAGAAGTGCTTGCACAGGACGTATATAAGGCTGAGCCCTGAACTCCTGGACGTCGTACACGAAACATAAATTATTATTCTTATGCTCATCTCCAATCTTACGAAAGCTATTACAAATTTTCATCGAGTCTTTGTCGCCCTTAAATTTGATCATGAACTTACTATTTGTATTTCTTTACATGGTAAATTTGAACCTGATTCTGAAAATGATGCTGATGGAAAAATCAACGTTTATGGTTTTAATCAGAGTGGTACTATCATGAAACTTAAATCTTGTCTAGATAATTATAAGCTCTATTACAATGAAGAACATTTTCAAGTTTATTTAACAAACAAGCGAAACACATTTATTTGGCTTGGTACCCCAAAACAACAAGTGACTCGGGTAGTCTCACTTAACGAACTTGATGTTAAGTCTTCCGTAAGCGTTGCTATTGACAAGTTGTGTCATAAAACCGCTAGGATAACCAGTAAAATTCAAAAAAAGAATATATGTGAATCTGAAATTTATGTAGTAAGCAATCGTGATGGGCTGCACTTAAAATACAAAACGGTTAATTCTGATTATACAGTGAATGAGGAGCAAGTAGACATTGATGCAGATTACAATCCACTAGACCCAAACAACCCAGATGATCAAGATGCACACTTATTGTCCCTTGATCCCATTAAAGATTTCACTGATGATTTGGAAGAATTAATGAAAAGAATGGAATGCTGGACTAAGTATGGTTTATATAAAAATGTAATTGATACTTATGAAAAGTATTTAGAGAAGAATAATTCTGCATCTGATCTTCATAAATTAGCTGAATTTTCAGAAAAAAATCCAATATTTCATATTCCTTTAGTAGAATTCGTAACAAAACCAAATTCCTTGGAAATTCAAAGCAACACATTGATTTGCTTGATTGGAATTTGTTTAAAAGCTAGTAAATGCTTAAAGGACTCATTGGCATTGGAAAGAGCAGTAAACCTGCTTAAAAAGTCTCAATGTTCAACGGGGTTGACCATGTATCAAGTTTTTCAGATATTCACACACATGGTTGTTGATTATCCATCTTCTAAAACGATGTTGGAGTATTTTGGCTCTCTGATCGAAAACATAGAGCAAAAATTACAACCACATACAGATGATCCCACTTTTGGAATGTTGGTCAATTATTTTTTAAGTCAAGTTAAGATGTTATGTGTCCAAACGTTAGAAGAACTCGATTTTAATGATGATGAAACCACTAAAGTTCGATATCGAGCACGTTCGAATAAAGTAGATAAAAAAAAATTCAATCTTATGTCAATAGGACAATTTCCAGTTAAAGTCCGACCAGGTGATGTCGTTTTACTTAAACGTCTAAATCATAAATCAAAAGAACCAATATCTATTATACGTGCAGTTGTTATCTCCATCGAATCAGGAGTACGTATAGAGGTATCATGGGTTCCTCGGGATATAGAGATAGCAACTTGGAAATTGATCCCAGTTGGAAATATAATTGGCTTCAGAAATTCTATGAAAGCTATCCAAGAACTATATCCAACTCAAAATGAGGAAATATCTACACTTTTGAAAATTATCATTGAACCGGAAAAGTTTACTAGAGATGATACTGATTTACCAATAGCATCTCATAGTGATAGTCATGAGCTTAATGCCAGTCAACATTTAGCTGTTGAACGAGCTCAAAATGGTCCTTTTACGCTCTGGCAAGGTCCCGCAGGAACTGGAAAAACAAAAAGCATTTTTCAACTAATATTGCGTCTTCTTGGACATAATCCTGATAAATCAATCCTTGTAACAGCAGCTACTAATGCAGCAGTAGATAACGTTGCCCTACATTTAGTTAAACATGGAGGCATTAAAGTGGTTCGTATTGGTGACATTAAATCCATTCATAATGAATTACTACCCATCACTCTTGAAGTTGGATTTGATGGTTCGCCTAAAAGGATTCATTCTAAGGATGCTAAACAAAAACTTCAAGATGCCAAAGTTGTTTTTGCGACCTGTGTTGGATGCGGTACAAGTCTTTTGGAAAAATTTGAATTTTGTTTTGTTATTATAGATGAAGCATCTCAAGTATCTGAGCCAACCTGTCTTATTCCGCTAGCCAAAAAATGTAACCGTTTTGTACTGGTTGGAGATCATAAGCAATTGCCTCCATTTTGCCTACCGGAAGCTAAAGGATTTGGATATTCAATTTCATTATTTGAACGAATGATTGAAAATTCGTATCCATGTTATTTACTCGACACTCAGTACCGTATGCATCCTGGAATCTCTGAATTTCCAAATAAACAATTTTATGAAAACAAATTGAAGGACGGAGTAAGTGCAGAAAAAAGACCCTTAATAAATGGGTTTGTATGGCCAAATCCAGAAATTCCAGTAGCATTTGTCCAAGTCTCTGGAAAAGAAACGTTTTTAAAGAGCTCAAAATATAATTTAGAAGAGGTAAATAATTTAGTCAACATAATGAAAATTATTATAGAATCCGGAGGTGTGACTCCACAGGACATTGGCATCATTAGTTTGTATAGTGCTCAGTTAGAGAAAGTAGAAAGTGCATTAAAGGATTGTAAAAACGAATCTTTTAAGAATATTGAAGTAAAAACTGCTGATGGGTTTCAGGGACGAGAAAAGGAATTAATACTTATCACTTGCGTCCGTTGTAATGAAAACGAAAAGATTGGATTTTTGGATGATGAACGTCGATTCAATGTCATGCTTACTCGAGCGAAGAGGGGGCTTATCATTTTTGGAGATAGAAAAACTCTTTGCAGCAGTCAAATGTGGAAAGAGTGGTTCACATGGACTGATCAAAATGGATTGGTTATTAAAGAATAAGTCGTAAAACATTCTAACTTAGATTTTTTTTTTCTTTAAGTTCCTTATTATCTTGATTTCATATTACAACATTTTTTTGTATATTTTGTTTGAATTTCAGTTTATAGTTTATGTGAGAATAGTTTATTTTATAGTTTATATGAGAACCATTCATTTTATAAAAGCACAAGGTCTGTTTCTATCTTCTAATGTATTCAGATATTTGTTTTCTCGATTGATAGATTCTCTATTCGCAAATTTCTTCTATTATCAGTTACGCTAAAAAGAAATGCATTAATGAAAAATGAATCTCGATTGACTTTTTTTTTCTGCCAGTCTCCGTCGGGTGATACTGTTGCATCTAAAGTAGCGATTTATCTAAAGTAGCTACTTTAGATATCAGTCACAGGACATGTCCTTCCCCGATGATCTTCATAGTAATTATTTCTCGTGTAACGTATATCGACATGACTTCTTTTTCAAATGCTTTGAATAATTTAGTAGCAAATAATATTCTTACTTTAAATA